AAATACCATGCAAATTAAGATAAGACTGAAAAGAAGCACTAGTGAATTCACCCCCTGAGTCAGAACGAATAGCCTTTATTTGATTACCAACAGATTTTTCCACATATGTCTTGAAAGTTACAAAGGTAGAATACACCTCAGATTTCCTTCTCAAAGGAAAGAACCAGCTATATCGGGTGTAATCATCCACTAACAGCAGGTAATATTGAAAACCACTCACAGAAGTTACAGGGGCAGGTCCCCATACATCACAATGAAGTAAAGCTAGACTATGGGAAGTAGATGAACCAGCAGGGTGAAAAGGCAGTTTATGATTTTTAGCTATAGCACAATCTGAACAGAAGAAATCAACGGAGGATTTACCTTGCAGGGCAAGCTTATTACCAGAAATCACTTTTCGAAAAATATTGGAGGAGGGATGACCCAATCTACTATGCCAAATCTGCACCGGAGCTTTAAGACTGACAAATGCTGAAGAAGAAATTGAAGAAGCAGTACCAGGTGAAGGAAAGCTTTGCAAAGGATAGGATCCATCTCTAACTGGTCCCCGCAAAAGCATCTTCCCCGTAAAACGATCCTTGACAAGGGATCCATCAGAATCAAGAGTCAATGAACATGAATTGTCTTTGACAAATTGAAAAGCAGACAGCAAGTTGTGCTTCATTTGAGGAACATGAAGGACATTTTTCAATTTAAAGGAAGTACTGGGAGTATGTAACAAAGAGGAACCAATATGGTTGATGGACAGACCTTTACCATCACCAATATAGACTTTGTCTTCACCAGTGTAAGGAGATGAAGAAGAGATGTTGGAGATGTCATTGGTAATGTGAGACGTTGCGCCAGAGTCAATGAGCCAGGAAGGAGAGGGCTTTGATGTATAGTGCGCACACATTGCAGCAAGCTTGGTGGGAGGGATTTTACCAGAAATTGCAGGATTCATGCGATCATAGCAGTCAATGGCCTCATGACTTGTACTTCCACAAATCTGGCAAGGAACACGAGCACCAGAGGAAAAGGAACCACGAGAGTTGGAATTATGACCACGATTGAAACCAGAAGGGAAGCCAGAGTTGTGGTTGCCTCGATGAGAGCCAGAATTGTAGTTGCCCCGATTATGGCCATAGTTGCCCCGATTATTGGAAAATTGATTATTCCTGCCACGATTGGAATTATATCGAAAAGAGTTGTGAAGCGGTGGATGTTGAGCAGCAAATGCCTGAGGTGGTGTAGGAAGAAGAGG